AGCCGCCACCGAGGCCGTCAAGCGCGCAGAGCGTCGGGCCGAGCCGAACTCAGTCCCCGGGAAACGCGTCCGCGACGCAGGGTTCCGCAGGGCGACGTACCGCAGGCGGGCCCGCGCTTCGGAACGCCGCGGGGCGGGGCCTGCGGGGCCCGGGAAGGCTACGGGTCGCGACGAGGGCCCGCGCGTGGACGGACGCTTCCTGCGCGACACTTCCTGTTTCAGGCACGGGCTGGACGAAAGGGACCCCGCTCCAAGCGTATGAGGGCGTCTCCTGTCAAGGTTTGAGCCACAGGGGGATGGCAGGGGTGGTCAGCGTGGCTTAAAGAGGCCTGGGGCGTGGGGCAGGTGCGCGAACAACGTCTGAGAACAAACGGGCGACTGGGGCCCACCAGGACTCTGAGAGGAGAGGGTCGGGTAGCAGTCCCCCCTCGGAGCCTGAGAGGGGACAGTGTCAAGCCCTGGGGACCAGTCAGCTACAGGAGTGGTGGGTAGGGGGTGGAAAACGAACATTAGCTGTCCATGCCAACATAAAGGGGGTTCAAAGATAAGGTGACCACATTTTAACATTGGTAAAGCGGGACACCATTGACGGGGCGGGGGGCGGCTGTTCTTCATTAAAAATTTGGTCTATACGGAGCAACAAAACTTTTCTGCCCTTTGCTTGCTAAGCTTCGCACCCGAGACATTGTGGCGCCTAGAAGACACGGTGACCTTGTCCAAAGCAGCTCTCAGAGGAGGTCAGATTGCTCCCGCGCGGGCGAAGCACCTAGCTTCCTACTGAACTTCTTCGTGGACCAAGGCTTCCGCGGCGGGCCGGGGGCTGGCGGTGTTTGCCGGGGGCGGAGCTGCGCAGGGGCTTGTGGGAGCCTCGGAGGGTGGGGCGGGGCTGCTGTCGTGGGACTGGGTCGCGGCATTCCTGGCGAAGGTGGCAATTAGAGGGCTGTGTGGCTGGCTGTCCGGGGCCCTACTCCGGAGGCCCCCGCTGGACCCGGGCCGCGCACCGGCAGGGGATAGGGGTGGAAAAAGAGGGTCCAGCAGCTCCCAGCGAACACCACACTGCACAGAGCCAGGTGTGAAGCGTAGTTGCGTTCCGCCCCGAGTCCCCGGCCTGAGAAGTCCAGCGGGTAGTTGAGAAGGGGACCTGTTCCCCGCCACCCCTG